TAGAGACTGTGGTAGAGACTGTGGTAGAGACTGTAGTGACTGTGGTAGAGACTGTGGTAGAGACTGTGGTAGAGACTGTAGTGACTGTGGTAGAAACTGTGGTAGAGACTGTGGTAGAGACTGTGGTAGAGACTGTGGTAGAGACTGTGGTAGAAACTGTGGTAGAGACTGTGGTAGAGACTGTGGTAGTGACTGTGGTAGAGACTGTAGTGACTGTGGTAGAAACTGTGGTAGAGACTGTGGTAGAGACTGTGGTAGAGACTGTGGTAGAGACTGTGGTAGAAACTGTGGTAGAGACTGTGGTAGAGACTGTGGTAGTGACTGTGGTAGTGACTGTGGTAGAGACTGTAGTGACTGTGGTAGAAACTGTGGTAGAGACTGTGGTGGTGACTGTGGTAGAGACTGTGGTAGAGACTGTGGTAGACTGTGGTAGTGACTGTGGTAGAGACTGTGGTGGTGACTGTGGTAGAGACTGTGGTAGAGACTGTGGTAGAGACTGTGGTAGAGACTGTGGTAGAGACTGTGGTAGAGACTGTGGTGGTGACTGTAGTAGTGACTGTGGTAGAGACTGTGGTAGAGACTGTGGTGGTGACTGTGGTAGTGACTGTGGTAGAGACTGTGGTAGACTGTGGTAGAGACTGTGGTAGAGACTGTGGTAGAGACTGTAGTGACTGTGGTAGAGACTGTGGTAGAGACTGTGGTAGAGACTGTGGTAGTGACTGTGGTAGAGACTGTGGTGGTGACTGTGGTAGAGACTGTGGTAGAGACTGTGGTAGAGACTGTGGTAGAGACTGTGGTAGAGACTGTGGTAGAGACTGTAGTGACTGTGGTAGAGACTGTGGTAGAAACTGTGGTAGAGACTGTGGTAGAGACTGTAGTGACTGTGGTAGAAACTGTGGTAGAGACTGTGGTAGAGACTGTGGTAGAGACTGTGGTAGAGACTGTGGTAGAGACTGTGGTAGAGACTGTGGTAGAAACTGTGGTAGAGACTGTGGTAGAGACTGTGGTAGTGACTGTGGTAGAGACTGTAGTGACTGTGGTAGAAACTGTGGTAGACTGTGGTAGAGACTGTGGTAGAGACTGTGGTAGAGACTGTGGTAGAAACTGTGGTAGAGACTGTGGTAGAGACTGTGGTAGTGACTGTGGTAGTGACTGTGGTAGAGACTGTAGTGACTGTGGTAGAAACTGTGGTAGAGACTGTGGTGGTGACTGTGGTAGAGACTGTGGTAGAGACTGTGGTAGACTGTGGTAGTGACTGTGGTAGAGACTGTGGTGGTGACTGTGGTAGAGACTGTGGTAGAGACTGTGGTAGAGACTGTGGTAGAGACTGTGGTAGAGACTGTGGTGGTGACTGTGGTAGTGACTGTGGTAGAGACTGTGGTAGAGACTGTGGTGGTGACTGTGGTAGTGACTGTGGTAGAGACTGTGGTAGACTGTGGTAGACTGTGGTAGAGACTGTGGTGGTGACTGTGGTAGAGACTGTGGTAGAGACTGTGGTAGAGACTGTGGTGGTGACTGTGGTAGAGACTGTGGTAGAGACTGTGGTAGACTGTGGTAGTGACTGTGGTAGAGACTGTGGTGGTGACTGTGGTAGAGACTGTGGTAGAGACTGTGGTAGAGACTGTGGTAGAGACTGTGGTAGAGACTGTGGTAGAGACTGTGGTGGTGACTGTAGTAGTGACTGTGGTAGAGACTGTGGTAGAGACTGTGGTGGTGACTGTGGTAGTGACTGTGGTAGAGACTGTGGTAGACTGTGGTAGAGACTGTGGTAGAGACTGTGGTAGAGACTGTAGTGACTGTGGTAGAGACTGTGGTAGAGACTGTGGTAGAGACTGTGGTAGTGACTGTGGTAGAGACTGTGGTGGTGACTGTGGTAGAGACTGTGGTAGAGACTGTGGTAGAGACTGTGGTAGAGACTGTGGTAGAGACTGTGGTAGAGACTGTAGTGACTGTGGTAGAGACTGTGGTAGAAACTGTGGTAGAGACTGTGGTAGAGACTGTAGTGACTGTGGTAGAAACTGTGGTAGAGACTGTGGTAGAGACTGTGGTAGAGACTGTGGTAGAGACTGTGGTAGAGACTGTGGTAGAGACTGTGGTAGAAACTGTGGTAGAGACTGTGGTAGAGACTGTGGTAGTGACTGTGGTAGAGACTGTAGTGACTGTGGTAGAAACTGTGGTAGACTGTGGTAGAGACTGTGGTAGAGACTGTGGTAGAGACTGTGGTAGAAACTGTGGTAGAGACTGTGGTAGAGACTGTGGTAGTGACTGTGGTAGTGACTGTGGTAGAGACTGTAGTGACTGTGGTAGAAACTGTGGTAGAGACTGTGGTGGTGACTGTGGTAGAGACTGTGGTAGAGACTGTGGTAGACTGTGGTAGTGACTGTGGTAGAGACTGTGGTGGTGACTGTGGTAGAGACTGTGGTAGAGACTGTGGTAGAGACTGTGGTAGAGACTGTGGTAGAGACTGTGGTGGTGACTGTGGTAGTGACTGTGGTAGAGACTGTGGTAGAGACTGTGGTGGTGACTGTGGTAGTGACTGTGGTAGAGACTGTGGTAGACTGTGGTAGACTGTGGTAGAGACTGTGGTAGAGACTGTGGTAGAGACTGTAGTGACTGTGGTAGAGACTGTGGTAGAGACTGTGGTAGAGACTGTGGTGGTGACTGTGGTAGTGACTGTGGTAGAGACTGTGGTAGACTGTGGTAGAGACTGTGGTAGAGACTGTGGTAGTGACTGTGGTAGAGACTGTAGTGACTGTGGTAGAGACTGTGGTAGAGACTGTGGTAGAAACTGTGGTAGAGACTGTGGTAGAGACTGTGGTAGTGACTGTGGTAGTGACTGTGGTAGAGACTGTAGTGACTGTGGTAGAAACTGTGGTAGAGACTGTGGTGGTGACTGTGGTAGAGACTGTGGTAGAGACTGTGGTAGACTGTGGTAGTGACTGTGGTAGAGACTGTGGTGGTGACTGTGGTAGAGACTGTGGTGGTGACTGTGGTAGAGACTGTGGTAGAGACTGTGGTAGTGACTGTGGTAGAGACTGTGGTAGTGACTGTGGTAGAGACTGTGGTAGTGACTGTGGTAGAGACTGTGGTAGAGACTGTGGTAGTGACTGTGGTAGAGACTGTAGTGACTGTGGTAGAAACTGTGGTAGAGACTGTGGTAGAGACTGTGGTAGAGACTGTGGTGGTGACTGTGGTAGAGACTGTGGTAGAGACTGTGGTAGACTGTGGTAGTGACTGTGGTAGAGACTGTGGTGGTGACTGTGGTAGAGACTGTGGTAGAGACTGTGGTAGAGACTGTGGTAGAGACTGTGGTAGAGACTGTGGTAGAGACTGTGGTGGTGACTGTGGTAGTGACTGTGGTAGAGACTGTGGTAGAGACTGTGGTAGAGACTGTGGTAGAGACTGTGGTAGAGACTGTGGTAGTGACTGTGGTAGAGACTGTGGTAGAGACTGTGGTAGTGACTGTGGTAGAGACTGTGGTAGACTGTGGTAGAGACTGTGGTAGAGACTGTGGTAGAGACTGTGGTAGAGACTGTGGTAGAGACTGTGGTAGAGACTGTGGTAGAGACTGTGGTAGTGACTGTGGTGGTGACTGTGGTAGTGACTGTGGTAGTGACTGTGGTAGAGACTGTGGTAGTGACTGTGGTAGTGACTGTGGTAGAGACTGTGGTAGACTGTGGTAGTGACTGTGGTAGAGACTGTGGTAGAGACTGTGGTAGAGACTGTGGTAGAGACTGTGGTAGAGACTGTGGTAGAGACTGTGGTAGAGACTGTGGTAGAGACTGTGGTAGAGACTGTGGTAGTGACTGTGGTAGTGACTGTGGTAGAGACTGTGGTAGAGACTGTGGTAGAGACTGTGGTAGTGACTGTGGTAGTGACTGTGGTAGTGACTGTGGTAGAGACTGTGGTAGAGACTGTGGTAGAGACTGTGGTAGTGACTGTGGTAGAGACTGTGGTAGAGACTGTGGTAGAGACTGTGGTAGAGACTGTGGTAGAGACTGTGGTAGAGACTGTGGTAGACTGTGGTAGTGACTGTGGTAGAGACTGTGGTAGAGACTGTGGTAGAGACTGTGGTAGTGACTGTGGTAGTGACTGTGGTAGAGACTGTGGTAGAGACTGTGGTAGAGACTGTGGTAGAGACTGTGGTAGAGACTGTGGTAGAGACTGTGGTAGTGACTGTGGTAGTGACTGTGGTAGAGACTGTGGTAGAGACTGTGGTGGTGACTGTGGTGGTGACTGTGGTAGTGACTGTGGTAGTGACTGTGGTAGTGACTGTGGTAGAGACTGTGGTAGAGACTGTGGTAGTGACTGTGGTAGAGACTGGTGGTGACTGTGGTAGAGACTGTGGTGGAGACTGTGGTAGAGACTGTGGTAGAGACTGTGGTGGTGACTGTGGTAGTGACTGTGGTAGAGACTGTGGTAGAGACTGTGGTAGAGACTGTGGTAGAGACTGTGGAAGAGACTGTGGTGGTGACTGTGGTAGAGACTGTGGTAGAGACTGTGGTAGTGACTGTGGTAGAGACTGTGGTAGTGACTGTGGTAGAGACTGTGGTAGACTGTGGTAGAGACTGTGGTAGAGACTGTGGTAGAGACTGTGGTAGAGACTGTGGTAGACTGTGGTAGTGACTGTGGTAGAGACTGTGGTAGAGACTGTGGTAGAGACTGTGGTAGTGACTGTGGTAGAGACTGTGGTAGAGACTGTGGTAGAGACTGTGGTAGAGACTGTGGTAGTGACTGTGGTAGTGACTGTGGTAGAGACTGTGGTAGTGACTGTGGTAGACTGTGGTAGAGACTGTGGTAGAGACTGTGGTAGAGACTGTGGTGGTGACTGTGGTGGTGACTGTGGTAGTGACTGTGGTAGAGACTGTGGTAGAGACTGTGGTAGTGACTGTGGTAGTGACTGTGGTAGAGACTGTGGTAGTGACTGTGGTAGAGACTGTGGTGGTGACTGTGGTAGAGACTGTGGTGGTGACTGTGGTAGAGACTGTGGTGGTGACTGTGGTAGAGACTGTGGTAGAGACTGTGGTAGAGACTGTGGTGGTGACTGTGGTGGTGACTGTGGTAGAGACTGTGGTAGAGACTGTGGTAGAGACTGTGGTAGAGACTGTGGTAGAGACTGTGGTAGACTGTGGTAGTGACTGTGGTAGAGACTGTGGTAGAGACTGTGGTAGTGACTGTGGTAGTGACTGTGGTAGAGACTGTGGTAGAGACTGTGGTAGAGACTGTGGTGGTGACTGTGGTGGTGACTGTGGTAGTGACTGTGGTAGAGACTGTGGTAGAGACTGTGGTGGTGACTGTGGTGGTGACTGTGGTAGTGACTGTGGTAGAGACTGTGGTGGTGACTGTGGTAGAGACTGTGGTAGAGACTGTGGTAGAGACTGTGGTGGTGACTGTGGTAGTGACTGTGGTAGAGACTGTGGTGGTGACTGTGGTAGAGACTGTGGTAGAGACTGTGGTAGAGACTGTGGTAGAGACTGTGGTAGAGACTGTGGTAGAGACTGTGGTGGTGACTGTGGTAGTGACTGTGGTAGTGACTGTGGTAGAGACTGTGGTGGTGACTGTGGTAGTGACTGTGGTAGAGACTGTGGTGGTGACTGTGGTAGAGACTGTGGTAGAGACTGTGGTAGAGACTGTGGTAGTGACTGTGGTAGAGACTGTGGTGGTGACTGTGGTGGTGACTGTGGTAGTGACTGTGGTAGAGACTGTGGTGGTGACTGTGGTAGAGACTGTGGTAGAGACTGTGGTGGTGACTGTGGTAGAGACTGTGGTAGAGACTGTGGTGGTGACTGTGGTGGTGACTGTGGTAGAGACTGTGGTAGAGACTGTGGTGGTGACTGTGGTAGAGACTGTGGTGGTGACTGTGGTAGAGACTGTGGTAGAGACTGTGGTGGTGACTGTGGTAGAGACTGTGGTGGTGACTGTGGTAGAGACTGTGGTAGAGACTGTGGTGGTGACTGTGGTAGAGACTGTGGTAGAGACTGTGGTAGACTGTGGTAGTGACTGTGGTAGAGACTGTGGTAGAGACTGTGGTAGAGACTGTGGTAGAGACTGTGGTAGTGACTGTGGTAGTGACTGTGGTAGAGACTGTGGTAGAGACTGTGGTAGAGACTGTGGTGGTGACTGTGGTGGTGACTGTGGTAGTGACTGTGGTAGAGACTGTGGTAGAGACTGTGGTGGTGACTGTGGTGGTGACTGTGGTAGTGACTGTGGTAGAGACTGTGGTGGTGACTGTGGTAGAGACTGTGGTGGTGACTGTGGTAGAGACTGTGGTAGAGACTGTGGTAGAGACTGTGGTAGAGACTGTGGTAGAGACTGTGGTAGAGACTGTGGTGGTGACTGTGGTGGTGACTGTGGTAGAGACTGTGGTAGAGACTGTGGTGGTGACTGTGGTAGAGACTGTGGTAGTGACTGTGGTAGAGACTGTGGTAGAGACTGTGGTGGTGACTGTGGTGGTGACTGTGGTAGAGACTGTGGTAGAGACTGTGGTGGTGACTGTGGTAGAGACTGTGGTGGTGACTGTGGTAGAGACTGTGGTGGTTTAATAACGAGAATTATTAAACATAAGATAATAATAATAGTAATAGTAATTGTAATGATGATAGATAGATAGATACAGTAGATAGATAGATAGATAGATCTAATAGAGTGAAGCTCCCAGTTCCAAAGCCCAGACTCTGTCCATATTTATGTTCCTTGTCTTTAGTTCTTTTAAATCTTTAAATCTTTTACATCAGAGTTCACATGAACATGGGTCATGTCCTGACGTCTCTTTGGGTAAATGTACTGTATAGATATAATATAATATAAATGTTGTTAACAGGTGCAGGTCTCTGCTCTCTGGATCCACAGGACTAGTATAAATATGATATATATATATATATATATATATTTAATATATATATATATGTGTGTGTGCAGGTCCTCTCTGGGGGCAGGGCGGTGCTGTCTGGATCCACAGGACGTCAGACTCTCGCTGTTTTCACAGTTTCCAAAAACAGACATTTTTCTGCTGCAAGTTCTGACGAGCCGCACATCACTGCTTCACCTGCAGACTCTGGTACAACCACCAGGGGGAGCCACCTGGCTCTCTCTGTACTTATATATGGTGTTATATATGGTGTTTCAGGACAGACTCTGGTACAACCACCAGGGGGAGCCACCTGGCTCTCTCTGTACTTATATATGGTGTTATGTTATATATGATACTTGTATATAATGTGATGTTATATAACACATATATTTGGTGTTTTCAGGCCAGAGGACGGTGTGGCCTGATGAGAGCATGGGCCCGTTCGGACCTCAGGACCAGCGCTTCCAGCTTCCTGGGAACGTTGGCTTTGACTGTCACTTGGACGGACTGAGCCAGAGCCGGAGGAGGCCTCAGAACCTCCACAGAACGGTCCCTGACGTCCTCACGGCGCCCAGCAGCTCTGAGAGGCAGCACTTTGTACTCGCTCAGTTCGTCAATGAGTTCCACGTGAGTCAGGGGTCAGAGGTCAGAGGACAGAGGTCATGACTATTAGTCTTATTTAGCTGAGTTTAGAGAAGAATCTTTGCAACAACAACTAATGATTGAAATGATTTACTTAAATCCTAAATGAATGTGACTTGGAGTTATTGTTGTTTAAGCCTGATCTTGTTGGATCTTTGATGCTCAGTGGGTTTAGGCCTGGTCAGTGCTGTGATGGGAGACCAGGTGCCACAGTGAGTGACACTACAGCAGTAGTTAAATGTAAACTGTGTAAATGTGTTCAGGGTAAACTGGGTCCGATCGACTCCAGAGTCCAAAAAGCAGATCATTATTTCAGTCAAACTGAGACCGACTGCATCATCAACTCCTGTCCTGAGCTGCTGAGGAAAGGTTTGTTAACAACATAAACCTCTGTAACTCTAACTCTGTAACTCTAACATAAACCTCTGTAACTGTTCTAACTCTAACTCTGTAACTCTAACATAAACCTGTGCTGATGTGTGTCAGACCTGGAGCTGATGTTCCCATCGGTCCCGCCCTCTGCCATCACCGTGGTAACTGTCACTCAGAAGAGCGGTCGGTGTGAAGACCCGCGGCAGGAGGACGGGCATCAGTTCGACCGAGTGAGTTTGAACAACGTCTACACAACTGTTACACACACATGTCACACACACACGTCACACACACACACGTCACACACACGTCACACACACACATGTCACACACACACGTCACACACACATGTCACACACACACGTCACACACACACATGTCACACACACATGTCACACACACATGTCACACACACGTCACACACACACATGTCACACACACATGTCACACACACACGTCACACACACGTCACACACACACATGTCACACACACACGTCACACACACATGTCACACACACACGTCACACACACACATGTCACACACACATGTCACACACACACGTCACACACACATGTCACACACACACGTCACACACACACATGTCACACACACACATCACACACACACACACACATGTCACACACACACATGTCACACACACATGTCACACACACGTCACACACACATGTCACACACACATGTCACACACACGTCACACACACATGTCACACACACGTCACACACACACACGTCACACACACACATGTCACACACACACATGTCACACACACACATGTCACACACACACATGTCACACACACACATGTCACACACACATGTCACACACACATGTGCAGTGAGGATATTGTTGTACATATTTAACATGTTGTGTGTTTGTGTGTTGCAGTTTGTGAGCGGAGCTAAAGAGATGTGTTTTGCGTTGTGGACGGCAGGATACTGGGCTGACTTCATCGACCCGACCACAGGGGGCGCTGTAAGTCTGACCCTGACCTTTGACCCGACCACAGGGGGCGCTGTAAGTCTGACCCTGACCTTTGACCCGACCACAGGGGGCGCTGTAAGTCTGACCCTGACCTTTGACCCGACCACAGGGGGCGCTGTAAGTCTGACCCTGACCTTTGACCCGACCACAGGGGGCGCTGTAAGTCTGACCCTGACCTTTGACCCGACCACAGGGGGCGCTGTAAGTCTGACCCTGACCTTTGACCCGACCACAGGGGGCGCTGTAAGTCTGACCCTGACCTTTGACCCGACCACAGGGGGCGCTGTAAGTCTGACCCTGACCTTTGACCCGACCACAGGGGGCGCAGTAAGTCTGACCTTGACCTTTGACCCGACCACAGGGGGCGCTGTAAGTCTGACCTTGACCTTTGACCCGACCACAGGGGGCGCTGTAAGTCTGACCCTGACCTTTGACCCGACCACAGGGGGCGCTGTAAGTCTGACCCTGACCTTTGACCCGACCACAGGGGGCGCTGTAAGTCTGACCCTGACCTTTGACCCGACCACAGGGGGCGCTGTAAGTCTGACCTTGACCTTTGACCCGACCACAGGGGGCGCTGTAAGTCTGACCCTGACCTTTGACCCGACCACAGGGGGCGCTGTAAGTCTGACCCTGACCTTTGACCCGACCACAGGGGGCGCTGTAAGTCTGACCCTGACCTTTGACCCGACCACAGGGGGCGCTGTAAGTCTGACCCTGACCTTTGACCCGACCACAGGGGGCGCTGTAAGTCTGACCCTGACCTTTGACCCGACCACAGGGGGCGCTGTAAGTCTGACCCTGACCTTTGACCCGACCACAGGGGGCGCTGTAAGTCTGACCCTGACCTTTGACCCGACCACAGGGGGCGCTGTAAGTCTGACCCTGACCTTTGATGACCCGACCACAGGGGGCGCTGTAAGTCTGACCCTGACCTTTGATGACCCGACCACAGGGGGCGCTGTAAGTCTGACCCTGACCTTTGACCCTGACATGTCCAAGTTTATTCTAAGGCTCTGTTTAAAGGGTTTTAAACTAAATATAAATATTTAGTGTGATCCAGATTCCATCACCTTCATCTAAAAAGTCTTAAAGTAAATCATCTTCTTCTTCTCCAGTTTTTCGCGTCCGCCTCGGGCCCGTCTTCTCTTCGCTCCGAGCAGGATCTGAGGGACCTGGGTTTTCACATCGAGGTGTCTGCGTCCTGCACCGTGATCCGCCACATCCTCAGAGGAACCCCCATGTTCGTGGGGACTGTTTTCACCAACGCACCGACCCACAGCGCGGCCGTCGCCCGCCTTCAGGGCCACGCCCACGGACTCGACGACGACGAATAGAATTATTTTTATTTATTTTATGTTTATTGGTCACACGTCACTGCAGCAGCGTTCTGGACGGAGAGGGAAGCTTCAGAGCCATGTTAGCTTAAACGCTTCAATGGATGTTCTTGCTAATATAGCTAACCTAGCTAACCAGCAATAACAAAACTATAGATACTTTAGATTTTAACATCAAACACCATCAAAACATGACTTCTGTGCCCACGTCTGAACCACTACCCTTATCTCTCCATCCTTAGCTCTCTCCATCCTTAGCTCTCTCCATCCTTAGCTCTCTCCATCCTTAGCTCTCTCCATCCTTAGCTCTCTCCCTCTATAGCTCTCTCCCTCTATAGCTCTCTCCATCCTTAGCTCTCTCCCTCTATAGCTCTCTCCATCCTTAGCTCTCTCCCTCTATAGCTCTCTCCCTCTATAGCTCTCTCCCTCTATAGCTCTCTCCCTCTATAGCTCTCTCCATCCTTAGCTCTCTCCATCCTTAGCTCTCTCCCTCTATAGCTCTCTCCCTCTATAGCTCTCTCCCTCTATAGCTCTCTCCCTCTATAGCTCTCTCCATCCTTAGCTCTCTCCATCCTTAGCTCTCTCCCTCTATAGCTCTCTCCATCCTTAGCTCTCTCCCTCTATAGCTCTCTCCATCCTTAGCTCTCTCCCTCTATAGCTCTCTCCTCAGCCCCCTGCTGTTTAGTGACGTGCTGCAGATCTCGAGCCTTTATTTATGTTTAAAGAAACTTGTGCGAATCATAAAAACATGATGAAAGTGACTGGAATCCAGAACTTCACTTTAGTCGTTTTTCCTTTTGTAATTTAATGAATTTCTCACATAAAGATGGATCGTTACCGTCTTTTCCTAAGACAACTTTAACGACTGTAAATACTGTTCATAGGCACTGCTCAGTTCAAGTTCCTGTATTTTGGTTTTTACAGCTGTGTTTCAGTCCGACTGCAGTGAATAACAGACGAATGTTGAGAATGGGACTGTCTAGTTTGTCCTAGTTTGTCCCAGTTTGTCCTAGTTTGTCCCAGTTCAGTGACAGATGTCCATGATCTTTCTCTGACCTCAGTTAAAATGGACGCCTGCAGCTGGACACCTGTGGAAACTAAGGCCGAACAACACCATAGACTTTAATCGTATATTTTCAAGTTCACAAAACATCCCTTTCTTTCTCTTGCAGTATTTGAGTTTTCCACACACTGTGTGTAATGGTTTTGTTTGAGTCATGAATGAATAAAAATGGCTTCTTTATTGTATTGGATGGTTTCTTTAGATTAGACTTCAACAAATCCTTTTAATATGAACACGTCATGTTTGTATTATTTGATGTGTTGATGTCACAGACTGTACGTGATCAAAGCTGCAGTTGTGACTTCTCACCAGCAGAGGGCAGTAATGCGCCACGCTATCCAGTTTGTGGAGTTTCAACAATTACAATGATTTTAAGTATATTTATATATGTACATATAATCATTGTATTGATTCTACTAATTTACTTATTGATTAAAACAAAAATGATAATTTAATGTAAAATAATTCATCTTTTTCCTTTTTTATGACACCGGAAATTAAGAGGGCAATTTCCGTGTTAGCCTGATAGGGTTAGGGTCATGGATGTATTATATTAACTGGATAGGGTATTACTAGCTTGTAGCTGAATAACCCACGTGCTCAGGGGATTCTCGCGGTACTGCAGACTGAACCAGACTAAATTCACGTGGGCTACCCAGAAATTTTCCCCATAGAACTCAATGCATATTAAAACAGCTCGACCTCAGCTGACAGAGAACCTACGGCTTTAATAAAGATCGGATTTTGTGGGGATTTTAGTGTCCCTTGTCATCCTGAACTTTTTTTCTTCTTAAATCCTTCGGTTTTGTTTAAATCCACACTTTAGTGGCACAAACTCTGCTTGTCTGGCTCTCGCTCTAACTCCCGCTCTGATGAACTGCTCTGATTGGTCAGAGCGCGGCCGAGCCCCTCTGTGCACGTGCGTGAGACCCGGTGTGAGACCCACACACGCGTGTTTGGCGCAACGCATTATGGGAGATCATCCACTGCGCAGAACCGGGAGGACCAGACGATGCCCAAATACAGGCGAGTTTCCCATAGATCTTTGCGAGTTTCAGGCAACTTCCGCTAATCTTTCAGTCCCCATGCTGTCACAAAGCGCCACTGAGCACAACCATTCATTTGAATAGGGCGCCATCTTGGATCGCCGGGGCTTGGTTAGGGTTAGCTAAACTAAGCTAAACTAAACTAAGCCAGATTAATGTCGTATCCAGAACAAGTGATATAAAATGGCTATTATTCTCTTATGATGCAAATATGTAGAAAATGATCTGACATGTGCAGAGTCCACTGCGAGGAGACAACAGCACTGCCTTTGTTTAGTTAGCATTAGCATTAGCATTAGCATTAGCATTAGCCGCAGTCCAGCTGAGCAAAAGGTAATCAATGAACCTTCACTGAGAAATGTGGTTCCTGATATTTTAAAGCTCACTTTTCATCATTTTCAGTTTCTTTGTGTGTTGTTCATTTGTGGCTTGTGTAGTTTTATTGTTATATAAATTATATACTTAATATATTCATATAGTGTGGTTATTATGATACATTCGCTGGTCTAGATTTATACATATACTACATATTACTGAGCCAGATTAATGTCTATGTTTTTAGAATTATCCCGGTGTTCTTACGTCATATATTTATATATATCCACATAGCCTTGTCATTCGTATTTATATAAATATATGCTTGTAATTACACACTTCTAAACTAACAGCAAAGACCTCATTACTATGATTGTAGAAAATCAGATCAAACTATTGGCTGAGTGGTTAGCACTCTCGTTTCACAGCAAGAAGGTCCTGGGTTCAAATCCTGGCCAGAACAGGGCCTTTCTGAGTGGGGTTGTTCTCTCCGTCTCTGCGTAGGTTTCCTCCGGGTACTCCGGTTTCCCCTACCACTAAAAACACGTACAACAGGTCTGTGGCTCCTGTACTGGCCCCTCCCATCTCTGTGTGAGTGACAGACTTGTGCACACCATTGTAAACTGCTGTGACTCTGGTCTGAGAAAGGTGCTATATAAATAAACATGACTTACTTACATGTGTATAGACGTCATTGATCTATTATCAAGACTTTAGTATCAACATAGTTTGAATTTGTAGTTTTGTGACATCACTAGTGTCATCAGCCTTAAGTTGTTTATTTGATTCATTGACCAATGGCATCTCAGTCAATCCATTCTGTAAACAACCAATTATCTGAATTTCAAGGATTTTCTACATCTGCTGATTCTACATCTGCTGATTCTGCATCTGCTGATTCTATATCTGCTGATTCTGCATCTGCTGATTCTGCATCTGCTGATTCTGCATCTGCTGATTCTATATCTGCTGATTCTATATCTGCTGATTCTGCATCTGCTGATTCTACATCTGCTGATTCTGCATCTGCTGATTCTATATCTGCTGATTCTGCATCTGCTGATTCTGCATCTGCTGATTCTGCATCTGCTGATTCTATATCTGCTGATTCTACATCTGCTGATTCTACATCTGCTGATTCTATATCTGCTGATTCTACATCTGCTGATTCTACATCTGCTGATTCTACATCTGCTGATTCTGCATCTGCTGATTCTGCATCTGCTGATTCTACATCTGCTGATTCTACATCTGCTGATTCTATATCTGCTGATTCTGCATCTGCTGATTCTGCATCTGCTGATTCTACATCTGCTGATTCTGCATCTGCTGATTCTGCATCTGCTGATTCTATATCTGCTGATTCTACATCTGCTGATTCTACATCTGCTGATTCTACATCTGCTGATTCTGCATCTGCTGATTCTATATCTGCTGATTCTACATCTGCTGATTCTGCATCTGCTGATTCTACATCTGCTGATTCTGCATCTGCTGATTCTACATCTGCTGATTCTATATCTGCTGATTCTACATCTGCTGATTCTGCATCTGCTGATTCTGCATCTGCTGATTCTGCATCTGCTGATTCTACATCTGCTGATTCTGCATCTGCTGATTCTGCATCTGCTGATTCTATATCTGCTGATTCTACATCTGCTGATTCTACATCTGCTGATTCTACATCTGCTGATTCTGCATCTGCTGATTCTATATCTGCTGATTCTACATCTGCTGATTCTGCATCTGCTGATTCTACATCTGCTGATTCTATATCTGCTGATTCTACATCTGCTGATTCTATATCTGCTGATTCTGCATCTGCTGATTCTACATCTGCTGATTCTACATCTGCTGATTCTATATCTGCTGATTCTACATCTGCTGATTCTACATCTGCTGATTCTACATCTGCTGATTCTATATCTGCTGATTCTATATCTGCTGATTCTGCATCTGCTGATTCTACATCTGCTGATTCTGCATCTGCTGATTCTATATCTGCTGATTCTATATCTGCTGATTCTGCATCTGCTGATTCTACATCTGCTGATTCTACATCTGCTGATTCTACATCTGCTGATTCTACATCTGCTGATTCTACATCTGCTGATTCTACATCTGCTGATTCTATATCTGCTGATTCTACATCTGCTGATTCTGCATCTGCTGATTCTACATCTGCTGATTCTATATCTGCTGATTCTATATCTGCTGATTCTGCATCTGCTGATTCTGCATCTGCTGATTCTACATCTGCTGATTCTACATCTGCTGATTCTACATCTGCTGATTCTATATCTGCTGATTCTATATCTGCTGATTCTGCATCTGCTGATTCTATATCTGCTGATTCTATATCTGCTGATTCTACATCTGCTGATTCTACATCTGCTGATTCTACATCTGCTGATTCTACATCTGCTGATTCTACATCTGCTGATTCTATATCTGCTGATTCTATATCTGCTGATTCTGCATCTGCTGATTCTACATCTGCTGATTCTACATCTGCTGATTCTGCATCTGCTGATTCTGCATCTGCTGATTCTACATCTGCTGATTCTGCATCTGCTGATTCTACATCTGCTGATTCTACATCTGCTGATTCTACATCTGCTGATTCTATATCTGCTGATTCTATATCTGCTGATTCTATATCTGCTGATTCTACATCTGCTGATTCTACATCTGCTGATTCTACATCTGCTGATTCTATATCTGCTGATTCTATATCTGCTGATTCTACATCTGCTGATTCTACATCTGCTGATTCTATATCTGCTGATTCTATATCTGCTGATTCTACATCTGCTGATTCTATATCTGCTGATTCTATATCTGCTGATTCTGCATCTGCTGATTCTACATCTGCTGATTCTGCATCTGCTGATTCTATATCTGCTGATTCTATATCTGCTGATTCTGCATCTGCTGATTCTACATCTGCTGATTCTACATCTGCTGATTCTACATCTGCTGATTCTACATCTGCTGATTCTATATCTGCTGATTCTATATCTGCTGATTCTGCATCTGCTGATTCTACATCTGCTGATTCTATATCTGCTGATTCTATATCTGCTGATTCTGCATCTGCTGATTCTACATCTGCTGATTCTGCATCTGCTGATTCTGCATCTGCTGATTCTGCATCTGCTGATTCTACATCTGCTGATTCTGCATCTGCTGATTCTACATCTGCTGATTCTACATCTGCTGATTCTACATCTGCTGATTCTATATCTGCTGATTCTATATCTGCTGATTCTATATCTGCTGATTCTACATCTGCTGATTCTATATCTGCTGATTCTACATCTGCTGATTCTATATCTGCTGATTCTATATCTGCTGATTCTACATCTGCTGATTCTATATCTGCTGATTCTATATCTGCTGATTCTATATCTGCTGATTCTATATCTGCTGATTCTACATCTGCTGATTCTATATCTGCTGATTCTATATCTGCTGATTCTGCATCTGCTGATTCTACATCTGCTGATTCTGCATCTGCTGATTCTATATCTGCTGATTCTATATCTGCTGATTCTGCATCTGCTGATTCTACATCTGCTGATTCTATATCTGCTGATTCTATATCTGCTGATTCTGCATCTGCTGATTCTATATCTGCTGATTCTACATCTGCTGATTCTACATCTGCTGATTCTACATCTGCTGATTCTACATCTGCTGATTCTACATCTGCTGATTCTACATCTGCTGATTCTATATCTGCTGATTCTATATCTGCTGATTCTGCATCTGCTGATTCTACATCTGCTGATTCTACATCTGCTGATTCTACATCTGCTGATTCTATATCTGCTGATTCTACATCTGCTGATTCTATATCTGCTGATTCTACATCTGCTGATTCTATATCTGCTGATTCTACATCTGCTGATTCTGCATCTGCTGATTCTGCATCTGCTGATTCTACATCTGCTGATTCTATATCTGCTGATTCTATATCTGCTGATTCTACATCTGCTGATTCTACATCTGCTGATTCTACATCTGCTGATTCTACATCTGCTGATTCTATATCTGCTGATTCTATATCTGCTGATTCTACATCTGCTGATTCTATATCTGCTGATTCTATATCTGCTGATTCTGCATCTGCTGATTCTACATCTGCTGATTCTGCATCTGCTGATTCTATATCTGCTGATTCTATATCTGCTGATTCTGCATCTGCTGATTCTACATCTGCTGATTCTACATCTGCTGATTCTACATCTGCTGATTCTGCATCTGCTGATTCTGCATCTGCTGATTCTACATCTGCTGATTCTACATCTGCTGATTCTATATCTGCTGATTCTATATCTGCTGATTCTGCATCTGCTGATTCTACATCTGCTGATTCTGCATCTGCTGATTCTACATCTTGGCTGAAGTTTTAAAATGTATTTTATATTTAAACCTTTGTAACACTTCCTGTTTGCTCATGATGTGTCCTGCTTCTGTTCCAGGTCAAAGGTGAGAGGCTTCATCATGTTTCCGTGTGATCAGTGTGGGAAGAGCTACTCCACTCCCACCAACCTGAAGAACCACAAGCGTCTGCACACGGGCGACAAACCCTTCAGCTGCGACACCTGCAGCAAATCCTTCTACTGGAACCACGACCTGACCAAGCATCTGCGCGTCCACACCGGAGAGAAACCCTTCGGCTGCAACTTATGCCACAAGGAGTTTGCCACGGCTCGCAAACTGAAACTCCACATCCGTGTTCACACGGGAGAGCGGCCGTTCAGCTGCGACGTCTGCCACAAAGCCTTTGTCCAGAAGCACGACCTGCGGCGCCACATGGTCATTCACTCTGGAGAGAAGCCCTTCAAATGCAGCCACTGTGGCAAGACTTTTATGCGCGAGGAAAAACTCAAAATCCACGAAAGAATTCACACGGGAGAAAAACCGTACTCCTGCGACAACTGCGGGCAAACGTTCGCTCACTCCTACACACTGGACATGCACCGGCGGCTCCACACGGGAGAGAAACCCTACAGCTGCGACTTCTGCAGCAAGACCTTCATCCGCAGCACGCATTACAAAGAGCACATCCGTCTGCACACGGGCGAGCGGCCGTACTCCTGCGACGTCTGCAACAAGACCTTCAGGACCTCCTACCTGTTAGCCGCGCACAAGACCACGCACAACAAACACACCGTCATCTCCTGTGACAAATGTGGGAAAGTCAGTCACACCAGAGGGACCTTCGCTTACCACATGAGGAGGTACCATCCCGAGGTCAAGCCCCAGAACCCAAACCCCATCGGAAACTTCTCTAGGTTCAAATCCAAACAGCAACGAGACGAAGAACCACAGGAGAGAGCGTCCCAAACACAAGAGACAAGTGAAGAAGAGGAGGAGTCTGTGGTTGGAAGAAGAGTGGCTGTTAAACATGAAGAAGAATCCTCTGAAGGACAGGAGCGAGGAGGCTCCAGCGCCGAGCCGAGGCTGAAGTCTGAGAAGGAAGTCATGATGGAGATCAAAGAGGAGCCGGAGGAGGAAGCTTTTCTTATTGGTCCAAAGTAAAATGTTAAGACACATGAGCACTTAGCAAAGAACTTCTTAAATACATACGTTTTGGAAGTGAGCGTCAAAGGAAATGCATTAGAAGTAATTAACACCTTTCATTGTGTTATTGATCCTAACGACTAAAAGTTGAGCACTTTTCTGACCTCATGAAGTCGTTTGTATCGTCTGTGTTGCACTTCTTTAAAACTACTTTGACTGTAACTGTCTTGTGTTCAACTCCAAAGCACTAACATTATTTATTTATCTGTATTTTCACGGTGCAGTAAATGTTTTTATAACAGACTGAATGTTTGCCATGTTTTAAAAACAGTTACATTACACATAATAAACATGTCTCTACAAAGTTATCTTTAGTCAATTATTTTAAAGAAATGACTTCTTTTCAAAAGAGGTTTTATTCTCAGCCTTGAATCCAGAGGAATGTTATTCTTATTACTACTGTCCATAATAATAATAATAATAATAATAATAATAATAATACATCTTGTTTTCTCGACACTCAAAGTCATCTCACATCACAAGTAAAAAGTACATTTAGTTAAAATACTAAATGTACTTCATCAAAAGCAGCAGGAACAGAAATTTGTCATGACGTTAGTGAGAAGGTTTAGGGCTCAACAGATTAGACTGAGGTCAGAGGTCAGAAGGGAGAGGGTGCCAGAGCTGACCATGGTGACCAGGAGGAGAGAGGAGGGACCAGGAGCTGGAGAGAGGAGGAGGGACCAGGAGGAGAGAGGAGGAGGAGGGACCAGGAGGAGAGAGGAGGAGGGACCAGGAGGAGAGAGGAGGGACCAGGAGCTGGAGGGAGGAGGAGGGACCAGGAGGAGAGAGGAGGAGGAGGGACCAGGAGGAGAGAGGAGGAGGGACCAGGAGGAGAGAGGAGGAGGAGGGACCAGGAGCAGAGAGGAGGAGGGACCAGGAGGAGAGAGGAGGAGGAGGGACCAGGAGGAGAGAGGAGGAGGGACCAGGAGGAGAGAGGAGGAGGGACCAGGAGGAGAGAGGAGGAGGAGGGACCAGGAGGAGAGAGGAGGAGGGACCAGGAGGAGAGAGGAGGAGGAGGGACCAGGAGGAGAGAGGAGGAGGGACCAGGAGGAGAGAGGAGGAGGAGGGACCAGGAGGAGAGAGGAGAAGGGACCAGGAGGAGAGAGGAGGAGGGACCAGGAGGAGAGAGGAGGAGGAGGGACCAGGAGGAGAGAGGAGGAGGAGGGACCAGGAGGAGAGAGGAGGAGGGACCAGGAGGAGAGAGGAGGAGGAGGGACCAGGAGGAGAGAGGAGGAGGGACCAGGAGGAGAGAGGAGGAGGGACCAGGGAGGAGAGAGGAGGAGGAGGGACCAGGAGGAGAGAGGAGGAGGGACCAGGAGGAGAGAGGAGGAGGAGGGACCAGGAGGAGAGAGGAGGAGGGACCAGGAGGAGAGAGGAGGAGGAGGGACCAGGAGGAGAGAGGAGGAGGGACCAGGAGGAGAGAGGAGGAGGAGGGACCAGGAGGAGAGAGGAGGAGGGACCAGGAGGAGAGAGGAGGAGGAGGGACCAGGAGGAGAGAGGAGGAGGGACCAGGAGGAGAGAGGAGGAGGGACCAGGAGGAGAGAGGAGGAGGGACCAGGAGGAGAGAGGAGGAGGAGGGACCAGGAGGAGAGAGGAGGAGGGACCAGGAGGAGAGAGGAGGAGGAGGGACCAGGAGGAGAGAGGAGGAGGGACCAGGAGGAGAGAGGAGGAGGAGGGACCAGGAGGAGAGAGGAGGAGGGACCAGGAGGAGAGAGGAGGAGGGACCAGGAGGAGAGAGGAGGAGGGACCAGGAGGAGAGAGGAGGAGGAGGGACCAGGAGGAGAGAGGAGGAGGGACCAGGAGGAGAGAGGAGGAGGAGGGACCAGGAGGAGAGAGGAGGGACCCAGCTTTTAAAGTTCCATTTATGTTTGAAGACGTGTCTAGCTTTGATGTTTGGTGTTTTTTCTGATGTTATTCATAAGAAAAAACTAATAATAGAGCCATGTCGGTGTGAGGTCTCCTCCTGGTCCACAGGGGGCGGTGTGAGCTGCGCGCGCATCTTTTGCTAATCAAGCTAATGTTGTGAGTCCAGTACGCATGCGCGCAGCGCCCTTTCCCCTAAAACATTATTATTTAAACAAATCCATCCCGTTTCAGTGTAAATCAAATATGTCGAACCGAAACACGCCCGAGGCCAACAGCCCGAACTGCGGTTCTGCTCAGGCCGCTCCAGAGGACACCAACACGGACTCTCCAGCTCCAGGACAGCCCGAGGAACAGAACAAAGAGCAGCCGCTGAAGCAGAGCTCTCCCTCGGCCACAGCCACAGAACCAGCCCCGGAGCCAGCCCCGGAGGAGGAGGTGGAAGGACCCAGGGAAGGACCCAGAGAGATCAGCATAGACCGGAGCTGCTTCAGGAAACACGGAGAGAAGAGTTTCTCTCAGAGATCCAGGCTGTACGTGGCCAACGTGGGCCCGGACGTCACCGAGCAGGACTTCAGACACATGTTCTCCAAGTACGGGAACACCGAGGAGGTCTTTATCAACAGGGAGAGAGGGTTTGGATTGGTACGATTGGTGAGTGGATACATATATTAAAATTATATTTATTTATATATATATATATATATATATATATATATATATATTACAAGGTGCCTGGTGGAGAGAGATGTGCACGCGTCTTTTAATCCTTTAGGTCCATATTATCAACATGGACCTGTTTGACCTGTGTGGAGACACTGTCTAACCCTAACCCTGGGAATAAACATGAATAACTAGATAAAAAGATGAAGAGATAAATGACCTAACTCTGTAAATAAGATGACATCAGTCTCTGTTTTATTACGATTATTTGCTGTGTTTTAGGAAAGCAGGATTCTGGCTGAAATCGCTAAAGCTGAACTGGACGGAACTGTCGTAAACAACAGAACCATCCGAGTCCGTTTGGCTTCACACGGGGCCTCGCTCCGGGTCCGAAACCTGCTCCCGATGGTCACCAACGAACTCCTGGAGCAGGTGAGACTGGAACAGGTCAGACTGGAGCAGGTCAGACTGGAGCAGGTCAGACTGGAGCAGGTCAGACTGGAGCAGGTCAGACTGGAACAGGTGAGACTGGAACAGGTCAGACTGGAACAGGTCAGACTGGAACAGGTGAGACTGGAACAGGTGAGACTGGAACAGGTCAGACTGGAACAGGTCAGACTGGAACAGGTCAGACTGGAACAGGTCAGACTGGAACAGGTCAGACTGGAACAGGTCAGACTGGAACAGGAACAGATCAGAGAAAACACATGTTTAAAAGTAAAATGTTGTGAATAAGTCAGAGCAATAGAAGACCTGGGGCTGAGAGCTGATTGGCCAGGTGAGGGCGGTCCTCTCTGTGCTGGTTGGCCAGGTGAGGGCGGTCCTCTCTGTGCTGATTGGCCAGGTGAGGGCGGTCCTCTCTGTGCTGATTGGCCAGGTGAGGGCGGTCCTCTCTGTGCTGATTGGCCAGGTGAGGGCGGTCCTCTCTGTGCTGGTTGGCCAGGTGAGGGCAGTCCTCTCTGTGCTGATTGGCCAGGTGAGGGCGGCCCTCTCTGTGCTGATTGACCAGGTGAGGGCGGTCCTCTCTGTGCTGGTTGGCCAGGTGAGGGCGGTCCTCTCTGTGCTGATTGACCAGGTGAGGGCGGTCCTCTCTGTGCTGGTTGGCCAGGTGAGGGCGGCCCTCTCTGTGCTGGTTGGCCAGGTGAGGGCGGTCCTCTCTGTGCTGATTGGCCAGGTGAGGGCGGTCCTCTCTGTGCTGATTGGCCAGGTGAGGGCGGCCCTCTCTGTGCTGATTGGCCAGGTGAGGGCGGTCCTCTCTGTGCTGGTTGGCCAGGTGAGGGCGGTCCTCTCTGTGCTGATTGGCCAGGTGAGGGCGGTCCTCTCTGTGCTGATTGACCCGGTGAGGGCGGTCCTCTCTGTGCTGGTTGACCAGGTGAGGGCGGTCCTCTCTGTGCTGATTGGCCAGGTGAGGGCGGTCCTCTCTGTGCTGGTTGGCCAGGTGAGGGCGGTCCTCTCTGTGCTGGTTGGCCAGGTGAGGGCGGTCCTCTCTGTGCTGGTTGGCCAGGTGAGGGCGGCCCTCTCTGTGCTGGTTGGCCAGGTGAGGGCGGTCCTCTCTGTGCTGATTGGCCAGGTGAGGGCGGTCCTCTCTGTGCTGATTGACCCGGTGAGGGCGGTCCTCTCTGTGCTGGTTGACCAGGTGAGGGCGGTCCTGTCTGTGCTGATTGGCCAGGTGAGGGCGGTCCTCTCTGTGCTGATTGGCCAGGTGAGGGCGGTCCTCTCTGTGCTGGTTGACCAGGTGAGGGCGGTCCTGTCTGTGCTGATTGGCCAGGTGAGGGCGGTCCTCTCTGTGCTGATTGGCCAGGTGAGGGCGGTCCTCTCTGTGCTGATTGGCCAGGTGAGGGCGGTCCTCTCTGTGCTGATTGACCAGGTGAGGGCGGTCCTCTCTGTGCTGATTGGCCAGGTGAGGGCGGTCCTCTCTGTGCTGATTGGCCAGGTGAGGGCGGTCCTCTCTGTGCTGATTGGCCAGGTGAGGGCGGTCCTCTCTGTGCTGATTGGCCAGGTGAGGGCGGTCCTCTCTGTGCTGGTTGGCCAGGTGAGGGCGGTCCTCTCTGTGCTGATTGGCCAGGTGAGGGCGGTCCTCTCTGTGCTGATTGGCCAGGTGAGGGCGGTCCTCTCTGTGCTGATTGGCCAGGTGAGGGCGGTCCTCTCTGTGCTGGTTGGCCAGGTGAGGGCGGTCCTCTCTGTGCTGATTGGCCAGGTGAGGGCGGTCCTCTCTGTGCTGGTTGGCCAGGTGAGGGCGGTCCTCTCTGTGCTGATTGGCCAGGTGAGGGCGGTCCTCTCTGTGCTGATTGGCCAGGTGAGGGCGGTCCTCTCTGTGCTGATTGGCCAGGTGAGGGCGGTCCTCTCTGTGCTGATTGGCCAGGTGAGGGCGGTCCTCTCTGTGCTGGTTGGCCAGGTGAGGGCTGTCCTCTCTGTGCTGGTTGACCAGGTGAGGGCGGTCCTCTCTGTGCTGGTTGGTTGAAGTCAAGTACCTCAGCTTTAAGTGTAAACTGAGCTGGAGCAGTAGTAAATGTGAGATTGTGTGTTCAGGCGTTCTCTCAGTTCGGGCCCGTGGAGAGGACGGTCGTGGTCATGGACGACCGCGGGAAACCCACCGGGAACGGGATCATTGAGTTTGCCAACAAAGTGTCGGCTCGTAAAGCTCTGGAGCGGTGCACGGAGGGAGCGCTGCTGCTCACTAAGTAACTCACTAATGTTTATATTATTATTGTTTCAGTCGACAATGTTCAAAACTGTTCATGTTATTATTGTGTGTTTACTGTCGCAGCACGCCGTGTCCCGTCGTGGTCGAGCCGTCGCAGCAGTTTGACCAAGAAGACGGAGTTTCTGAAAAGATTTTGGCCAAAACTCCTCGATATTATAAGTATGTTCTTATATCTATCTGTCTATACATTTATATCTATACATTTATATCTATACATTTATATCTATACATTTATATCTGTACATTTATATCTGTACATTTATATCTATACATTTATATCTATACATTTATATCTTCATACAGTGCCTTGCGAAAGTATTCGGCCCCCTTGAACCTTTCAACATTTCGCCACATTTCAGGCGAACTGAAAAGTGGGGCGTGCAATATTATTGGGCCCCTTTACTTTCAGTGCAGCAAACTCAGTCCAGAAGTTCAGTGAGGATCTTTGAATGATCCAATGTTGTCCTAAATGACTGATGATGATAAATAGAATGCACCTGTGTGTAATCAAGTCTCCGTATAAATGCACCTGCTCTTTGATAGTCTCAGGGTTCTGTTTAAAGCACAGAGAGAACCATGAAGACAAAGGAACACACCAGGCAGGTCCGAGATACTGTTGTGGAGAAGTTTAAAGCCGGATTTGGATACAAAAAGATTTCCCAAGCTTTAAACATCTCAAGGAGCACTGTGCAAGCAATTATATTGAAATGGAAGGAGTATCAGACCACTGCAAATCTACCAAGACCCGGCCGTCCCTCCAAACTTTCATCTCAAACAAGGAGAAGACTGATCAGAGATGCAGCCAAGAGGCCCATGATCACTCTGGATGAACTGCAGATAACTACAGCTGAGGTGGGAGAGTCTGTCCATAGGACAACAATCAGTCGTGCACTGCACAAATCTGGCCTTTATGGAAGAGTGGCAAGAAGAAAGCCATTTCTCAAAGACATCCATAAAAAGTCTGGTTTAAAGTTTGCCACAAGCCACCTGGGAGACACACCAAACATGTGGAAGAAGGTGCTCTGGTCAGATGAAACCAAAATCGAACTCTTTGGCCACAATGCAAAACGATATGTTTGTCGTAAAAGCAACACAGCTCATCACCCTGAACACACCATCCCCACTGTCAAACATGGTGGTGGCAGCATCATGCTTTGGGCCTGCTTTTCTTCAGCAGGGACAGGGAAGATGGCTAAAATTGATGGGAAGATGGATGGAGCCAAATACAGGACCATTCTGGAAGAAAGGTCCTGTAGTCTGCAAAAGACCTGAGACTGGGACGGAGATTTATCTTCCAACAGGACAATGATCCAAAACATAAAGCCAAATCTACAATGGAATGGTTCACAAATAGACGTATCCAGGTGTTAGAATGGCCAAGTCAAAGTCCAGACCTGAATCCAATCGAGAATCTGTGGAAAGAGCTGAAGACTGCTGTTCACAAACGCTCTCCATCCAACCTCACTGAGCTCCAGCTGTTTTGCAAGGAAGAATGGGCAAGAATTCCAGTCTCTTGATGTGCAAAACTGATAGAGACATACCCCAAGCGACTTGCAGCTGTAATTGCAGCAAAAGGTGGCGCTACAAAGTATTAGCGCAAGGGGCCGAATACTATTGCACGCCCCACTTTTCAGTTTTTTATTTGTTAAAAAAGTTTAAATTATCCAATAAATTTTGTTCCACTTCACGATTGTGCCCCACTTGTTGTTGATTCATGACAAAAAATGTAATGTTTATATTAGGGATGTAAAAAACTATGAATTTTCATGACCGACCACCGAGCCTCAGTAACCGGTTGAAACCGGTTAACCGCGTAGTTTAAAATTGTCCACGTTCTTTGAAATAACAGCCATTTCGAGCCGCGTACTTCTCATAAGTGCAGCTCTGCGTTCTACTGGATCAGAGCCAAGACAGCGGCGCCCAAACCCGCAACAGCTCCGGCACCTTTGCGCACAGAGAACTGCTTTTTTAATCTTCCCATTCTGCTGTGCTGCGGGTTAATACCAAAACTTTCTAGCAGCAAACGACGGCTCGTTCACATGGTCAGAGCAGCGAGTGACGGCGTCTCACAGGTCTTCACAAAAGTTTAAATACAAGTGATGTGTGTGGAGCTGATCCCGAGGACCATAAACACAAACATGTTCCATGTGGTTTGACTGAAGCTGCGTATTTGTGCGAATCCTTTGGCTCCGTGACACAGAGGAGCGCGACAGACCGGTGTGTGTGTGTGTGTGTGTGTGTGTATGTATGTGTGTGTGTGTGTGTGTATGTATATGTGTGTGTGTGTAAATGTAAGCTCCAATGTAGTTCTGACCCGCGCCAGTGTGCAACTTTGACGGTAACAGAGGGGAGAGATGATGCGTGTGTGTGTGTGTGTGTGTGTGCGGCGTGAGAGTCGTCCCGGAGTTTATAATACATGGGCGCACACAGCTAGATACAGACCCGCTCGTCACACCGTGCAAATAGGGCTTAAAATAGCGTTATTAAGAGACCTCCCCTCTCCCCTTTTTCTCTTTTTTTAACCGACAGCTTTGACCGGTTAACGCTGTGACGGTCAACCACCGGTTAACCGGTCGCCGATTTACATCCCTAGTTTATATCTTTATGTTTGAAGCCTGAAATGTGGCAAAATGTTGAAAGGTTCAAGGGGGCCGAATACTTTCGCAAGGCACTGTATGTGTTCACGGAGGTGACTTTATATAACAGCAGTATGTGTTCACAGTGACTTTATATAACAGCAGTATGTGTTCACGGAGGTGACTTTATATAACAGCAGTATGTGTTCACGGTGACTTTATATAACAGCAGTATGTGTTCACGGTGACTTTATATAACAGCAGTATGTGTTCACGGAGGTGACTTTATATAACAGCAGTATGTGTTCACGGTGACTTTATATAACAGCAGTATGTGTTCACGGTGACTTTATATAACAGCAGTATGTGTTCACGGAGGTGACTTTATATAACAGCAGTATGTGTTCACGGTGACTTTATATAACAGCAGTATGTGTTCACGGAGGTGACTTTATATAACAGCAGTATGTGTTCACGGAGGTGACTTTATATAACAGCAGTATGTGTTCACGGTGACTTTATATAACAGCAGTATGTGTTCACGGAGGTGACTTTATATAACAGCAGTATGTGTTCACGGTGACTTTATATAACAGCAGTATGTGTTCACGGAGGTGACTTTATATAACAGCAGTATGTGTTCACGGTGACTTTATATAACAGCAGTATGTGTTCACGGAGGTGACTTTATATAACAGCAGTATGTGTTCACGGAGGTGACTTTATATAACAGCAGTATGTGTTCACGGAGGTGACTTTATATAACAGCAGTATGTGTTCACGGAGGTGACTTTATATAACAGCAGTATGTGTTCACGGAGGTGACTTTATATAACAGCAGTATGTGTTCACGGTGACTTTATATAACAGCAGTATGTGTTCACGGAGGTGACTTTATATAACAGCAGTATGTGTTCACGGTAACTTTATATAACAGCAGTATGTGTTCACGGAGGTGACTTTATATAACAGCAGTATGTGTTCACGGTAACTTTATATAACAGCAGTATGTGTTTGAGCAGTTCCACGCTCAAACGTGCGTCACCGTTGACTTTGCTTTGAAAGTCGACGCAGCAGGATCCGGTCTGAACGCGGCTTAAGTCTAACCTAAGTCTAACCTAAGTCTAACCTAAGTCTAACCTAAGTCTAACCTAAGTCTAACCTAAGTCTAACCTAAGTCTAACCTAAGTCTAACCTAAGTCTAACCTAAGTCTAACCTAAGTCTAACCTAAGTCTAACCTAAGTCTAACCCTTGCAGGGGCCGGGAGCAGCCGCCCCGCTTTGCTCAGCCCGGGACCTTAGAGTTTGAGATGGCGTCTCGATGGAGAGCTCTGGAGGAGATCGAGAAACAGCAAAAAGAACAAGTGGAAAAAAGCATCCGACAAACGAAGGAGAAACTGGAGCAAGAGCTGGAGGCGGCGAAACACGAGCATCAGCTGATGCTCATGAGACAAGGTCTGTTAATATATATAATTATATACTAATAACACATTAATAACACATCAGCTGATGCTCATGAGACAAGGTTCGTTAATATATATAATTATATACTAATAACACATTAATAACACATCAGCTGATGCTCATGAGACAAGGTTCGTTAATATATATAATTATATACTAATAACACATTAATAACACATCAGCTGATGCTCATGAGACAAGGTTCGTTAATATATATAATTATATACTAATAACACATTAATAACACATCAGCTGATGCTCATGAGACAAGGTCTGTTCATATATATAATTATATACTAATAACACATTAATAACACATCAGCTGATGCTCATGAGACAAGGTCTGTTAATATATATAATTATATACTAATAACACATTAATAACACATCAGCTGATGCTCATGAGACAAGGTCTGTTAATATATATAATTATATACTAATAACACATTAATAACACATCAGCTGATGCTCATGAGACAAGGTCTGTTAATATATATAATTATATACTAATAACACATTAATAACACATCAGCTGATGCTCATGAGACAAGGTCTGTTAATATATATAATTATAAACTAGGGATGTAAATCAGCGACCGTTTAACCGTCACAGCGTTAACCGGTCAAAGCTGTCGGTTAAAAAAGAGAAAAAGGGGAGAGGGGAGGTCTCTTAATAACGCTATATTAAGCCCTATTTGCACGGTGTGACGAGCGGGTCTGTATCTAGCTGTGTGCGCCCATGTATTATAAACTCCGGGACGACTCTCACGCCACACACACACGCACGCACGCACACGCACACGCACACGCACACGCACGCACACACACACACACACACACACACGTCTGTCGCGCTCCTCTGTGTCACGGAGCCAAAGGATTCGCACAAATACGCAGCTTCAGTCAAACCACATGGAACATGTTTGTGTTTATGGTCCTCGGGATCAGCTCCACACACATCACTTGTATTTAAACTTTTGTGAAGACCTGTGAGACGCCGTCACTCGCTGCTCTGACCATGTGAACGAGCCGTCGTTTGCTGCTAGAAAGTTTTGGTATTAACCCGCAGCACAGCAGAATGGGAAGATTAAAAAAGCAGTTCTCTGTGCGCAAAGGTGCCGGAGCTGTTGCGGGTTTGGGCGCCGCTGTCTCGGCTCTGATCCAGTAGAACGCAGAGCTGCACTTATGAAAAGTACGCGGCTCGAAATGGCTGTTATTTCAAAGAACGTGGACTATTTTAAACTACGCGGTTAACCGGTTTCAACCGGTTAATGAGGCTCGGTGGTCGGTCATGAAAATTCATAGTTTTTTACATCCCTATTATATACTAATAACACATCAGCTGATGCTCATGAGACAAGGTCTGTTAATATATATAATTATATACTAATAACACATTAATAACACATCAGCTGATGCTCATGAGACAAGGTTCGTTAATATATATAATTATATACTAATAACACATTAATAACACATCAGCTGATGCTCATGAGACAAGGTTTGTTAATATATATAATTATATACTAATAACACATCAGCTGATGCTCATGAGACAAGGTTTGTTAATATATATATTATATACTAATAACACTAATAACACATCAGCTGATGCTCATGAGACAAGGTTCGTTAATATATAATTATATACTAATAACACATCAGCTGATGCTCATGAGACAAGGTTTGTTAATATATATAATTATATACTAATAACACTAATAACACATCAGCTGATGCTCATGAGACAAGGTCTGTTAATATATATAATTATATACTAATAACACATTAATAACACATCAGCTGATGCTCATGAGACAAGGTCTGTTAATATATATAATTATAAACTAGGGATGTAAATCAGCGACCGTTTAACCGTCACAGCGTTAACCGGTCAAAGCTGTCGGTTAAAAAAGAGAAAAAGGGGAGAGGGGAGGTCTCTTAATAACGCTATATTAAGCCCTATTTGCACGGTGTGACGAGCGGGTCTGTATCTAGCTGTGTGCGCCCATGTATTATAAACTCCGGGACGACTCTCACGCCACGCACGCACGCACGCACGCACGCGCAGACAAGGTTTGTTAATATATATAATTATATACTAATAACACATCAGCTGATGCTCATGAGACAAGGTTCGTTAATATATATAATTATATACTAATAAAACATTAATAACACATCAGCTGATGCTCATGAGACAAGGTCTGTTAATATATATAATTATATACTAATAACACATTAATAACACATCAGCTGATGCTCATGAGACAAGGTCTGTTAATATATATAATTATATACTAATAACACATTAGATTTAGATTTAGATTTATTAGATTTATTTATTTATTACATTAATAACACATTCATGAGACCAGGTCAGAACAGTTATTATATATAATTATATACTATACACTGGTGGTGGGCGACAGTGGCTCAGTGTGTAGAGCATTGGCCTTTGAGTCGTGGGTTCGAGCCCATCGTAAAGCTGCGTTCAGACCGGATCATGCGTCGCGTCGGGTTTCAATGCAAAGTCTATGGTGACTTGCAGCGTCAAAACGCACCGACCTCTTGGCTCAGTAGACTTGGCGGGAAAGTCAAAGGGGAGGAGCAGGAGCGGGAAATGGACGCCCACAGGAGATAAACTTTGCTCAACCCTTCCTCGGGACGTTTGTGCAGCGACCAATCAGAGAGCAGCAAAGTGGTCACGGGGACATTGGTGGTCTGAGCGAGCAGACTGAACATACTGTAAACAGCCAAAACAGAAGCTAAACCAGGACTAAACCAGGACTAAACCAGGACTAAACCAGGACTAAACCAGGACTAAACCATGACTAAACCATGACTAAACCATGACTAAACCATGACTAAACCATGACTAAACCATGACTAAACCATGACTAAACCATGACTAAACCATGACTAAACCATGACTAAACCATGACTAAACCATGACTAAACCATGACTAAACCAGGACTAAACCATGACTAAACCAGGACTAAACCAGGGTTGACATTGGGGGACTCTGTGCTTGTGAATATATGTGTTGTCATGCTACCGTGACCTTATGCAATTGCTTCGAGTGTGTTCATACTGCTGTTATATAAAGTCACCTCCGTGAACACATACTGCTGTTATATAAAGTCACCATGAACACATACTGCTGTTATATAAACTCACCTCCGTGAACACATACTGCTGTTATATAAACTCACCTCCGTGAACACATACTGCTGTTATATAAACTCACCTCCGTGAACACATACTGCTGTTATATAAAGTCACCTCCGTGAACACATACTACTGTTATATAAAGTCACCTCCGTGAACACATACTACTGTTATATAAAGTCACCTCCGTGAACACATACTACTGTTATAAAAAGTCACCTCCGTGAACACATACTGCTGTTTATATAAAGTCACCGTGAACACATACTACTGTTATATAAAGTCACCTCCGTGAACACATACTACTGTTATAAAAAGTCACCTCCGTGAACACATACTGCTGTTATATAAAGTCACCGTGAACACATACTACTGTTATATAAAGTCACCTCCGTGAACACATACTGCTGTTATATAAAGTCACCTCCGTGAACACATACTGCTGTTATATAAAGTCACCGTGAACACATACTGCTGTTATATAAAGTCACCTCCGTGAACACATACTACTGTTATATAAAGTCACCTCCGTGAACACATACTGCTGTTATATAAAGTCACCTCCGTGAACACATACTGCTGTTATATATAGTCACCTCCGTGAACACATACTGCTGTTATATAAAGTCACCTCCGTGAACACATACTGCTGTTATATAAAGTCACCTCCGTGAACACATACTGCTGTTATATAAAGTCACCTCCGTGAACACATACTGCTGTTATATAAAGTCTCCTCCGTGAACACATACTGCTGTTATATAAAGTCTCCTCCGTGAACACATACTGCTGTTATATAAAGTCACCTCCGTGAACACATACTGCTGTTATATAAAGTCACCTCCGTGAACACATACTGCTGTTATATAAAGTCACCGTGAACACATACTGCTGTTATATAAAGTCTCCTCCGTGAACACATACTGCTGTTATATAAAGTCTCCTCCGTGAACACATACTGCTGTTATATAAAGTCACCTCCGTGAACACATACTACTGTTATATAAAGTCACCTCCGTGAACACATACTGCTGTTATATAAAGTCTCCTCCGTGAACACATACTGCTGTTATATAAAGTCACCTCCGTGAACACATACTACTGTTATATAAAGTCACCTCCGTGAACACATACTGCTGTTATATAAAGTCACCTCCGTGAACACATACTACTGTTATATAAAGTCACCTTCGTGAACACATACTGCTGTTATATAAAGTCTCCTCCGTGAACACATACTGCTGTTATATAAAGTCACCTCCGTGAACACATACTGCTGTTATATAAAGTCACCTCCGTGAACACATACTGCTGTTATATAAAGTCACCTCCGTGAACACATACTGCTGTTATATAAAGTCACCGTGAACACATACTGCTGTTATATAAAGTCTCCTCCGTGAACACATACTGCTGTTATATAAAGTCTCCTCCGTGAACACATACTGCTGTTATATAAAGTCACCTCCGTGAACACATACTACTGTTATATAAAGTCACCTCCGTGAACACATACTGCTGTTATATAAAGTCACCTCCGTGAACACATACTGCTGTTATATAAAGTCACCGTGAACACATACTGCTGTTATATAAAGTCTCCTCCGTGAACACATACTGCTGTTATATAAAGTCACCTCCGTGAACACATACTGCTGTTATATAAAGTCACCTCCGTGAACACATACTGCTGTTATATAAAGTCACCTCCGTGAACACATACTGAGGATCAGGAGGGCCAAGAAGGACTATGGGAAAAAGCTGGAGCAGAAGCTGGCCCAGGGAAACGCCCGCGACGTGTGGAGAGGCCTAAAGAACA